ATCATAGGTGGTCTTGCTGATGTCATTGTACCATTACCAGTGGCTAACTGGAGTTCAATACTAATACCTATGTCCACTAATGGTAGGGTAACCTTTTGTGTGTTTTGTGATAATCATGATTGACAGGTCTATGTCAAGAGGCTGTGATTAAATTAATGATCAATCAATATTCTAATAATTCAGTTTGCTTTAAAAATGTTCTGGAGCTCATTTCGCAACCAATAATACACTCTTTTTTAAAGGTCAGTCAGTTTCCTGTCATTGTTAAATGCTACTTTTTATAACAGGAGAACTCTAAACATGATTTGTGTTTGGGTCTCTCTTCAATGGCTGTTGTTCTCTCTCCATCGTTATTGTTTTCAATTTTAGTGTCTCACATTTCCGACCCAATTACTCTTTTTCAGTCCCTTCTTTCTTTGCTTGTTCTACCCAGCAGTGATTTCAAACCTTTCTTGGAACTGGTAATGGATATGTATTGTCATTCACTGGAAGGAGGTTTAGAGGTTTCATCTAAAAGTGAAATATTTCAACCTACAGATCCTTTCCTTGATATTCTTAATCAATGTTTGTCTCAATCATCAGCTAAAGTTCCAGTAAACAATTTCTCATTCATAGTGCGTGTTAATTTCCTCTTCTCCTAATACAGTCTTTCTTAAAGTCACTGCTCACATGTTCAAGTGTTTGTTCTGAACACTCTCGTTCTCCTCTACTAAAGCCATTAATCATGGACTATCTCTTCTCTAAACTCTCTCCACTGGAAGAAAAGTGGTTGCTGCATACTGTCAGAATCATATGCTCTGGAACAAACTCCTCTTATTGTCAACTACTGTTACTGACTATCCTTCAGGACTGGACCAAAGAGAATGATGTAATGTAATGCACCTTGAAATGCCACATTAGCTGTCTTGTTCACACCTCAAGGTGTAAACAAGCTCAGAAAAAATACTGCTTGTAAATTTTATACTTTAAATTATTATTTTTTTTGTGTCGTATGTTTTAGTCAAATGATGATGCCGATTTGTGTAAAGTGGAAATGATACTTTTTGAAATGTTTGGAGCTCAAACAACTCAAGATTTTCAAATTGTCAAATGGCCAATTCACCAGCTGAAAGACACTGTCAAGCAAAAGGTATAACACATACTAAATTCCATTCAGACACTGCATGTGCTTGTATTGTATAGATATGTGAAACAGGAGTAGTCTGGCTACTTAATGAAAATGAGAGATTTCATTCATTAATTAAAGGTCAATTCATTCCGTACCTCATTCAGTTACTGATTCTTTTATAACAGGACTCCTTTGTTCATTGAGACACTCCAGTCACTACTCCAGTACTACTGCTATATGGACATCAGTTGCTCAAATTTTATGATTGAACTGATCTTTGATAATTTTTCACAAGAAGTTCATTTTTGGATGAAAATTAAAATTATTATTTTTATAAAATCATGAAATTTATTCTAAATGCAGCATAAGAAGACTTCCCAATTTTTGAGTAACTTTAATAAATAAACTTTGTAAAAAATTCAATTTTGAGATTGGAATCAGTTCAAACTTTCTACACAACATAATGAATCAGAATGTGTAATAAAATTGAGTAATTCTCCCTTTTTTATTTTTGGTTAAAGTCCCTGTACTATTTATAAGCACAGGGACTTGAAGATGATTTGGAGAAACTTTAAAAAATAATTATAGAATCAAATATTTTGCATAACAGAGAATTCACCAGCCCAACTACTTACCACATAATGTGAACTGTGTTCATGCAATACAGTAGAGAATGGTGAAGAACAGAACCATTATGACATGAAATTGCTTGCTCTTATGTTAGTATAGAACTAATGCAGGAAATACTTGCTATGATTTGAACTAGTCATAGAGGCAATTAAATACATTCCAAGATGTACATTGAGTAGGTATAATCTGTGGGTAGTGTATGCAAGTTTATATAATGACTGGTTTTGTTGATAACTCTTAATGAATCTATCAGAGTATGTGACTGTTATACACTCTAGAATTTAACTGATGTATGGTTAAGGGAAGGGAAGGTAGCTATGATTACTAATTGATGTTAGGTATGTGAAGCAGCTATCCTTTTCCAAGTTTATGTTACAGTGATTCAAGCATCATATGGCACAGTCAGCTATTACACTGAGGGGGAGTTCGTGTACCATTACCAATTATGTAACTTTATACACATTAAATCATTAATTTTAATTGTATTATTAAACTGTACAGAATTAATATTATAATCAACAGTCATTAAAATCTGAATGGATAATTGGTTCTATAATACAAGATTGGGAGATACTTTAAGTTAGCGAAGAGGTAAATGCTATACATTACTTTCAACTAATTTGTCACAGGAAGAATGACAGGCTGGAGGTGAGACAGAGTGTCTTGAAGGTGAGTCTGTAGTGTTAATAGTGTTGTGAACGATACTGTCAGAGGCAGTGGAATAAAGTGATTCTCTGTTGATATCTACCACTGGTTGCATGGTAGACCCTTGTACAGTGGCCGAAGTATTGGTGGCCTCAAGTTCTTTCCTTTCTTTGGTCACGAAAGAAACTGTCTTTGACTGTTTATACAAACGACAAGATATTAGAACAAGTAATACTAGAAAGATAATTATAATTAGAAGAAGGACGGCGAGGATTGACAGAAATGAAATAAACACTTCAGGATTCTGTTTTAAGCTCTCGATTAAAGGAGGAGTGGCTACAGTAAACGTTGTTGTAGGGAACTGTACAGTGCTGGTGGGTGTGGCTGACGATGAATCTGACGGGATGATGAGAAGTGGTCCATATTTGCTGGTGGTGTTGATGCTAATATTAGACTGAGTGTATAAATCAATATACAGGACTGAGTCCAGTAGCAATGGTTCTGATAGCCTCAGTGAATAAGTATAGGTTGAAACATATTTAGTAATGTACACATTGATAGTAGGTAGAACTGGGGCTGAACCTGTGAGATGATTAATAGAGATTATTGTAAGGACAAGACATGTATTGTTACATGTAATGATGATTACAAGGTATGGAATTCTACATGTATACCTTGTACATGTACGTGTAGGTGAAGCATAAACAATGGAACCCCTACACATTACTCAGAGACAACATGCTAACAATTGATGCCAAAACATTATACCTTTCTTAACATTATCATCATTACTAATATGTACATGTACACAATACCTCCTGATGACTGGTTAGACAGATACTCTAGTCTTGGCCTAACAGTCACTGTCTGATCCATGTTTCCATTATAACCTGAGAGAGTGAGGCGCAGTCTCAATAGAGTTGAGTTAATGATGGCATTTGATGCAACAAGACTGACATCTAAAAATATAATAATAATTAGTAGTAATGGCATACGCCTAGCTTTTACAAACAGAAATGCATTGTTTCCCAGAATCCAATTATTTATGATTGCAAACAAATTAATTTCCCACAACACAATAGACATAATCAATGACGGTACATCAATAACAATAAATGAATAACAATACCTTCATTGTCTTGTACACAGACATTAGAGGTAGCATAAGGTCTGTAATAGGAGAAAAGTTCATTTCGTTGCACTAACTCAAGACAGAAGCACTGTATGTGATGTGAGAGCTCTCCATCACTGTTGACAGTTAGTGTGACATTAGTTTGGGCGACACCCTCTGTAAACTCAATATTAGACTCGGAGAGTACAAAGTTCTCTATTTATAAAAGGAATAACATAATAAGGAAGGATGAATATATTAGATTAATAATTAAATAATAATAACAGCTATAGCTTGTTTGTCAATCAATATGGAAACACGAGCATAAACAAACAAGAGTCAGAGACACTGATATTAGCATCATTATGATTACAATGTGAATGGCATTTGTTATTAAGTATCAGTAATAACAATTGGACCAGTGGGAGAAGTGATGGCACCTTTCATGTGAAATTGACTGGGACATCATCAGGCCACGTACAAGCTAGTCTTATTTTCACTTGAAATCCATTACATTCCACAAAATTGACACTTTTCAAGGGATTGGCCTCAGCTACCATATAAGGAAGTTGTGAATACTTGATTCATTGCATAGCAGACCATTGTGAAAGCACAATGGAGTACACAGTAAATGATAATATTCATGTATTGCATGTACCTGGCAATGAATTGCCTCCACATTGTCTTAATTGAAGAACAACAGTTTCATTCAATTGGTTGTAACGATTTAAGATTAATGTTTCTGATGTTTCCTCAGACATGAAGTACGAACCTGACGAGAAGTTAGCCTTGGGACGTGACACCTCTAAAAGAAAAAGAAACATGTAAGAATTCTTCTCCTGCCTCATGCAAAGACAATAAAGTCAAAACAAAGAGTTCCATTAATTCTAAGGATTGTTTTGTATTCACTAATAAGCAATACAGCATCATCATTCACAGAGCTACAATCAACTATTATGTCTTTAGCAATAAACAAACAATAGGAACAATATGAAACAACAAAACCCATGTCGTGTAGCGGGTAATTTTCGTGGTGCTTTATTTTGTGGTTTTGAGTCTTCTAAACCACTGAAATCATTGAAGTGCCATCCCCTTACAGGCTATGTAAACTGTCAACCACAAAAATTAAACCATGAATTGCCACAACCACACAAAAATTAAAACCCACAAAAAATAACCCGCTATATGGTAACACACCCAATCAATCATGCACCCCATAACAGGATGCCTCATTACTAAGTAGAGGAGCTAATGCTTACCTGTGATCACGTCCAGTCCAGTGTTTAATGAGAAACAATAACCTATTGTAACCACAAGTCCATTCACAATGACATACATTGGAGGCAAGTCCTCTCTATTAAAGTACAACTTGTTCTCATTGCTTCCAGATATGTTGACAAGCTTTGTACTATACCCAATGATAACTTGACCAGCAAACACCGGGACCCAGGGGGAGGACACAACACTGTTATTGAGTGAGACTGTGAGATTGGATACATCATAGGAGGACTGGACTATTATGAGTGCATTAGTAGTGTAAGGTGAGGCATCTGTCATTAGGTATGGAAATGAAGGGAGAGACAGAGGGTTAGTCACTTTAGTATAATGTTCTATTGGAGTCAACGCAACTGAGCATGGATCACCTAATCCTGATATGCCACTTGCTCCGGCAAACTGTACCACAAGTATTTTACTATCTGATACAAAAGTACAATAGCCACTTTGAGATGCTACTACAATCTGTTTTAACTGTCCTGCACTCATATTATAATAAGCTACTGTATCAGACAGCGAACTGTTGTCACTGCAAGTAACTGCTACCGTCGCATTATCTTCTGAAGAGATGAACTTGTAGACTGAGCCACTGCTAAATATTGGTTGTGACATGAAAGTGGAACCCCAAGCGATTGTAGGCTGCGACTGAAAGAGGAAGTGGTCACATAACTGTTCGCCATAAAATGGCTCTGCACACATATGACTGCAAATTACAGCAATAGGGACATTGGACGTGATCTTTGTGCCTGACATATCAGAGACACTATTCAGCAATAGAGTAGTAGATGGTGGCATGTTAAACTCATACATTTCATTTGCCAGAACAACCAAATCATCAGGTAGACCAGTAATGAAAGGAGGTAGCATCACATCTTGAGTTGGCGTAATGGTGATATTGGCTGATGATAAACCAGTAACAAGTAATGTCTCACTCCTTACTGCACTAGCTGAAGATGAAGTAGAAATGACATAATAAGTGTATTCTTCAATTTCGTAGTCGAGCAATGGTATAGCAGTATAGGCAGCCCCTGAATGCCCGTGTTGAGTGACACTACTGGAGTAAACCTTAATCTTCTTGCCATCATTAGTAAAGACATGAATTGCTTTATCCAGATTAGTATTGTCCACAACTATTAGAGTACTAGGAAGGCGAACAGTTTGATTGCCAAAAGGAGGCAGAATAAAGTTAGATTGGAAGTAAGCACCAGCATCAATAGACACATTGACTGGTTCTGTTTCATCTGTCACTACGTGAAGATTGCATCTAACAAAATTGATAAAATTGTGCCTGTTCCTAGGCAAAGCGACAAAGAAGCTATCAGAGTTTTGGTCTTTCAATGTGGTGCCTGCAATAAAGCAAGAGTTTAAATCAGTACAAGTGATCATTGCTTTTAGACTAGACTGACTAAACACTGAGTTAATTTTAGTTAACTAACGATACAACTAAAAGTGGCTCACATTGCAAAATGAGCAAAAAATCATTACTAACTAAACAAAATGCCATAACTACCTAAAAGGCTCATTTTGTAACTAATAAAACAAGACAAATTATATATATATATACCTGAGGAAGTTGCTGTTACTATCAGCAAGAGAAGGAGAACTAAATACTGCTCTAAGTGACAGGCCACCATCGTTCCTTACTCCTCTTCGTCTGACTTTTCTACTAGCTCTGATCTTAAACCTTCTTTCCTGGGTTCTCTCTCTTTCCCTCTTCTGCGCTAGCTTCCACTACAGCTCAGCTACTATGCAGAACTTGACAGGCAAGCGTTATAAAAACAAACTATTAATAACTATTAATAACTAACTACTATGAATAATGATTCATTAATCAAAAATTATAATTATTGTTAAAATTATTGTATCTGTGCACAAAAAAAAGAGTACATAAACGATCACTTGGTAATACTTTTAGAAACGGGCTCCTAAAATAATGAAGATAAAGAAAGATATGACTTTATTATTAGGACAGACTAATGATAATAGCTGCTACCTTGTGAAGTGATGGTTGATTGAGAGGGTATCTCATTTGTCTTGGATCATAAGGATACTGACCGGAAGAAATGAATTCACTAGGAGTAGATACTCTGCAACTTGTCATCTATTGTACACAATAAAGCCAGAGGTTATAATAGACCGCCTAATAATAACAGAACATGCACAATACAGCTGCACTCTTGTACTGCTACATGAGAAAACCACGTTCTTTCAAAAGGGATGCTTCTCCCACAAACAGCTATACAGTTTCAATTCTGACAATAACAAATGATGTAATTGAATACAGTACAATAACCACAAAAACAATAAAAAAACTCCCTCAAAACAATCACGAGCCACTCAGCATTCACACCATTGAACTATCAAAGACATTCTTACAACATGTGAGACAGACAATGATCAGCTTATGAACGTGGAAACACAAAATAAACTAAACTGAAGGACAAACAAGATCTGCATGAACACAACACATCACTATAGAAGGAAAGGTGAATGTGCTGTGGTTTAAATTAGACGCCTACCAAGCTCAAATATGAACAATACTAACAACAACCACAGTAGTACAAGTGAATCAAGAAAGGGTTCTATTTACAACTGATGAGATTGCGAGTATCCTTACCTGCTGATGTGAGTACACATGAACTGCTGGAGGTTGTGGCATATCATGAACCACTGAGTGAGTGAAATACTGACTGAAAGAAATAACATGATGATTAAGAACGACGGCACCTTTCTCATAGCTAGGCAACAGTTGATCAACACATTATTCAAAATGGCCAGTTAACTATTGCAGCATAAACAATATACCATATCTCCAAACAGGAAGGGACAGTAACACTTACACATGTAATGATTAACACTACCTAATGCTAATAAGATGATGGACTTACCCTCCTGATCCTATACCAGGTCCAGACTGGTAGCTACCACTCCTATAACTACCACCTGGGAAAAATAAATAATTCAAGTACATGCACATAATAAGCATAAAATATGAATAAAACTGTCCAGCCTTCACCACAAAGACACACACACAGAGCAAGTGAGTGAATGCGTGGTGCGTGTGTATGCATATATAATGGATTCTGTTTGTCCTATGGTAGGCTTTTAGTTCCTTTTAGGATACTTAAACCAATGCTGTTAACACAAATAATACTGGCATAATCATGTCAATCTAGTAAATTTAGATCATGTATTGATACTTACCAGTATAATAATGACTGTATGAGTCCTTATGGTGATAAAAATCAGAAGAAATGTTACCTACACAACAAGAGCACATGAAACCAGTCAGGGACCAGCTACATACATGCACATGTACACTAAACATGTTCACTGGTGTCGTCCTGTGCTAGAGTGCAGACTAATGCACTTAAAAGGACAATAACTATAATCTAATCAGTCACTTGTGGACCACTAGTGTGTTTGTCTTTAGTATTGAGTTACTGTGTAGACTGCCACTATATTCAGTTATACTGTTGGCACATTGTTTATTTATCACAAGCAGTACAGTATTGATATTACTTAATTTATTATTAATTGGTGTATATTATTAATCAATTGATATTTATAAATGTTTTGTGTAGGCACATACCTCTAGTAAACGAATGAACTCCGGTCATTGGAGGTCCATGATATCCAGTAGCATATCCTATACATGTACATGTACATAGTGAGGACTGTATGCCAACCAAGTATATGAAATGAATGTCATTATTGCTGCTGTCACAGTTAGACAAGTGAATAATGATCCCAAATCAAAATTGGGAATGTTTTTTCCAAAACGGCTCTAAAGTCACTCCCCCCAATTTGTATAACATTTGCCAAAATTCCGAAATATAGCCAAGGCTATAACCCATGGTTTTTTTGCAAAAAATGGCTCCAAAATCACTCCAAATTTTTATTACATTTTCTGATTGATGTCCTTACGCTGTGTACGCTCAAGGAGAGAGCCCTTTACATTTAATACAGTTCCTGTACCTGGACTGGTGTGAGGGTTAATACGCTGTTGATTAAATTGGGTTGGATATCTCAATTGATCAATTGCTCCGTATTTATTAGTAGGTGGAGTCTCATGAGCCAATAAACCCCAAGATGGTCTGATACTAGACTATGCTAATATAAACAGAAACAGGATAGCTCTGCCTTCCTTACCTTCACTTGTTTATAATCTGAGGAGGACATTATTTGCTGCTGCTGCTGATGGAAATGTTCCTCCCTATTCCAAGAACAGAGTATTATTCAAGTTTAATTAATTACTGACTTTTTTCTCTTTTCCTCCTCTTCATGCAGGACCTACTAAAGGTTGATATGGTTGCTATGGTTACTAGTAGCTCACTTTCTTAAGTTCTTGAAACAAATTGTGTTTTTCTTTCTTAAGTAGTTCAAGCTTTTCTTTTAGAGTTGACAACTACAAATTATAAGTAATCAATTAATCTTGCTCCGCCCTTTTACAGACTATAAATAAGTGGACATTCTCAACAATACATGTACATCAACAACATGGTCATTATTGACCACACCCACACCTGTTCCTTATTATCCTTGACGGTTCCTTCTTGTAGTCCGCTGGCTGGTCTAGTACTACTAGTTTCCTCTTGGTGTGGGGCCAGCTTGCTGTGTCTTGATGTTTTTGTCTTCTTAGATTCAATGGTTGATCTTTCACCTTTTAATAATAATAATAACATCAAATCAACTACAACACACTTTCTCTTTTTCTTTTAGTAAGGATGTATGATCTCAGGGAAGAGAGTTGCTCTTTATTTAAAGGTTCCCTTTCAAACACAACAACTGCCATTTTAAAGGGAGGTGTGTCCTTGCCCACGTGTATGTAAAAGAAATGGCTGATAGTTCTTTAGACAAATCTTTAGATAAACCACCTCCAGCCCCTAAACTTGGCCGTGGATTGAGTAAACAGTATTCAATATACCCCAGGAAACCATCACTAAAGACTCTCCTTGGTACTCTCACTGCTGCCATTGATGTGGTCAAATTTTTGTACAGTAATGACTTCACGAGGTGAATTATTGCTTATAATTAATTTTAATTGTCGTTACTGTACAGATCTGTTGGCAGAGATATAATATTCTTTGGTGGATCAGTTGTTATAATAAAGATGGTTGTCAGTGCAATGCAAGAAGAATGAATAGTTAATTAATAATTCTGACATTATTAATAGTCATGTGTCTGTTTATGTACTACTCTTGCAATATTCATTAGTTCTGTGCTAGCTTGTGAATTTGGATATTCTTCAATGACACTCTTTCCTTCTTCACAGCATTTCACGAAATCCTATTAAAGATGATTATGCCAAGTAAAGTAGGCTCTATCTCACTGGGTCAAAAGGCACTCTTCCTATTAAAGATACATCATACTCTTTCATCAGTCTACTAATTCCTCCTTTATCTTCAAACATTGATACAACCTCCTGTCATTACATGACAATATGTGATTTTGATGGACTAATACTCACATTACAGCATGGGCACATGTACTGATCCATATTCTGGATTAGACCAAGAATCTTGATACCCATCTTGCGACAGAAATTAATTTCTTTTCTTATTGTTGACAAAACAACTTCTTGAGGAGTGCACACTATAATGACACCATCAGGCTTAGCATTGAGCAATAATTTAATTATTGTCAAATGTTCGTCTGATGTACCAGGAGGTGTATCTACATGTGTATAATGATAATAATTATATTTACATAACAACAGTTGCAGTAATATTTACCAAAAAACAAATATTCAAGCCTTCCCCAGAATGCATCTTTTAAAAATCTTTTAATCAGACCTATATGTACATAATGTTTGATAAGTACAGTAAATAGTACTTGTTTTTCTTGGTCCCCTCCAGACTATCCTATGGTAGTTACATAAACATGTTTGGTGTGTTAAAAAACTAACGCAGTTTGATTTTCTTGTATCAGTGATCCGGTCGAGATAACTTTGATTCCGCCAAGAGGGGACCAGTATTCATAATAGAATATATATAATTATTATAATTATTGTTTTACTAACTGTAAAGGTTGCCAACCATACTCAGAACTGACTACAGACTGACCATCAACTTGCAACAACTTGGGAATACTTGGGCCACATATATCTAAATCAGCAATGCCAACCTATTCTAACAGACTAGAACATGTTGTCAATAACTAATAATAGTACTTTGTTTTTTCCACAGAGCTGAGCTAGCCCCATTGACAGCCCAGCACATATACTAGATTTACCTACACCTTTATATGCACAGTATATATATATTTTTGGAATGATACTATAGGCTTGCCTCCTTTTCCAGATACTATTAGTATTTTATTCTTTATTGCATTCATTCTGATGTCTACAAACTTTTGATCAGGATCAAAACCTCCTGTAAATGTAATCGTTAATAGAACAAGCATGAACTTGATGTTGTACCTTGAGTTAGGCAAATCTGTCTGCCAGGGCAACTGCTGCATACAGGAGCTTTACCTGCTAAAGCCTACCTAACTCTTAAAACCAAATATAGTGGATGATTGCAAATACTTGATCAGATGGGCAGCTTTGGTAGTGTTCACTCCGAGCTTCACTTCCTTTCTCCATCTTGACTCGAGATTTGCTGAATTTTGCTAGCAAGACAGTAGCTAGCCCCACCCACAATAATGAAAATGGTAATTGTAAATTAATCTGCTCTAAGTTAAAGCCTGTGAGGAAGAGGTATATTTACATGTTTTACATGTACTGTTGATAATGTACAGAATAAGATACATGTAGTGCTGTATTGTGTATGACTACTGTATAAGCTTTGTGATGATTACTGTAGTACTGTTCTATTTATAGTGACATGATGGACTTTTATGTACACTAATGAAGTCTTACTCCTTCTCAAGGGGATAGATCAGGGATTTTCCAAAAATTTTACAAAAATTGACAGAAAATTTCTCAATTTAATTACATTTTCTGATGCATATACATGTACTTATGCTGTGTAGAAAGATTGAGCTGATTCCAATCAAGATTGAATTTTTTATGATTTTTTAAAGTTGCTCAAAAATTGGACAAAAGTCCCTGTACTATAGTACAGGGATTTTTGGGAAATTTCAATAAAATTGACAAGTGAAGAATTCCTCAATTTTATTACTTTTTCTGTTGCATATACATGTACTTATGCTGTGTAGAGAGATTGAGCTGATTCCGATCAAGTTTGGATTTTTTATGATTTTTTGAAGTTGCTAAAAAATCGGACAAAAGTCCCTGTACTATAGTACAGGGATTTTTGTAAAATTTCACAAAAATTGACACGTAGAAAATTTCTCAATTTTATTACATTTCTTGATGCATATACATGTACTTATGCAGTGTAGAGAGATTGAGCTGCCTCCGATCACGTTTGGATTTTCTATGATTTTAAATCTTGCTCAAAAATTGGACAAAAGTCCATGTACTATTAGTAACGCGGTAGCGTTACTAAGTAGGATTCACCCCCAAACAAAATGGCTGCCACGACTTTTGCAGCCTTGCTATACCAGGAAAACGAGCTCCTATGCTTACCAAACTTCTTAGAGGACCTCATCTTGACCAGAGGACTCCATTGGTACCACTAGCGTGGCTCTAGACCTTGTCTAAAAGAAAATCCAAAAATCGGCGAACCGGCCGTTTTGTTCAGCCACCTTTTTTCATCTTCATCATCATCATCAAGTCAGAAGTCCTGTCAATCCAGTTGTCGGTGTGTATCTCAGTATTGGTTGGTGCTACAAGGATAACTCTTACACCAATCTACTCCAACAGTCTATGCGCAGGTCCATGTCCCATCAGATCATTCTTCAAGTGAGGAAAAAGTGATACTGTGACTGCTGGATCGAGCCATCTTAGCTGCATGCCGCCATTTTGTTAATTAATGAAGCTTGCCATGTGCTCCAAAATTTGGGTGTGGTCGCGCATATGGCAAGCCAAATGTTTCAAAATTATATCCCTACCTTATGACGTCATGTTGACGTGATTTACGTCGACACGACATAAAAACGTCGTAACAGCGTGTTTAATATGTCGTAACAACAAGTTTTGGGTACTATCAATAGTCATGATGACTATTTAGTCG